TTGGCTCTTAACACCCGATAAATTTTACACAGTATCCAAAACTTAACCTGATTGGCCGAATTTTTCCGAACTTTTCGCACTAGTGGGTCCCACGTCCAATATATATTCTTAATTTTCTAAAAATTCTCCATACTAGAAAAATCATCTTAAAACTATAATTAAGCATAAAATCTACCAGAAAATATTTCTAAGCCCGAAAATGCAAAAATATAAGCAATTAAAGGGTAATAAACCCTAGGAAAATATTAGGGTTTTACGGGTTCTCACAGTGGTAATACCGAGTATACCAAACTTTCACCCAAGGTCACCAAATCGCTCGACCGAATCCGCTTCTGGCTCGAGTCGATCGGCAACAAAGGGCAAGGGTCCAATTCAGCCAAAAGGCTTACATTCATGCACAACTAATATTTAATCACTTAAACATTGAAAATTTCACATTTCATTTAGGTCGAGTGCGATAGAGTACACACTCGCCTAGCAAAATTCATTTGTAACAAACATTTATCATTTAATCAAATATCCACAACAAATCATATAGTTCATGGAAACATAACAAATAAAGAACACTCACCTATTTAAGCAAAATAACGTCCAAAGTTTCCTTCCGGATAACACCCTTAATCACCAAGGAACCCTAATAATAACCAAGGGAAAATATTACGGTTAAACCATCCAAAGTTTAGGTGAACCAAAGAAAATTCGAATAACTACTAGTACAACGTATAAATATGGTTTTGGAAGTGAAAAGAGTACATTTAAACCAAAGGACAAGAGTAAAATATTTGTAAAACTTATGCTCACTCGTAAAACTTTAAAATCTCCATTTGAGTCGAACTGACAAAGAAAACGTATTTCTATTAGTCGTAAATTTCATTTTTCCAAGGGTACAAGTTTCGGTCAAGTTCTAACTTATATACCTCGATAAAAGAATATGCAAATATCCTAGATGGTTCAAGTGGTATTCGTTCTCAAATCCTTATGCAAATCGCGAGTATATCTACCTAGCCCTCGAGCGCAAATTTGGGCAGCACGCCCTTTGTATTTACCTATTTTTCAGCCATTTATGGCTTCATTCTTTTCTCCAATCAGTCCCAAAATCACACGCAAATAGTCTCATTACAATAGCCATTCAATAGGTTCAACGTCATACAATTACAAAACCATGCTACAGAAATGACCGGAAATAAGGTTTAAGGCCAAAAGTAAAAGACAGGTTCGACGTCTCTTAGCGTATCCGTCATGACCGAAGCTACGCTTATCGGATTGGGGTGAAATTTATACCATTTTGAAGCTAAGGCAAAGGGTTACAACTTTGATGAAGACTACTCAATCTAGTTCATAGTGCATCCAAGTTAAATTCATCGTTTACAGAACCAGAATTTCACCATCAGGCTGGTTAACAGCACTGTGTTCAACCGACAATAACTCAGGTTACAAAAGTCCAATTGAGGCATTTTCAGAGGCGTTGGAAAGCTAAAATATGGCACTACAACTTTCATGTTTTGGCCAAATGCTAATTCAATACGGATCATGGTGAAAAAATACGGCCAGAATGGTGAAATGTCAAAATGGTCCACAGAGCTCTACCTATGGCAGTCAAGGGTATTTCGATTATTTCACAAGCTACAGTGCTCCAATTGAGCTGAAATTTTACAGGAAGCTATAAAACATCATTTTCTACAACTTTCATGTTTTGAGCTGAGCCCAATTCGGCCTCCATCATGGCCGAATGACACTGGTCAGAACAGGACTGAATTGAAATCCTAAAACTGAAATTTAACATAACTCTAGCTCAACCCATGAAATCTTCCACAAAATAACATCTATAACAACTATAAGCCACTAATTAGCAATTAATTGAAGTAAAGAGGAAGTTCTTGGCAAAATACCTTGGAAACTCAAGAAAAATGATAGCTTAGTATCTTTCCACCCAAATTGACTCCACAAACCCTTGGAAACTACCTAACTAGCACTTTTATGGAGTAGTTTGCGATTTAATCGGTTGGAACTCAAGATTTGGACAAAAAATTGAAGTGGAAGATGAAGAACTCTCTTGGTTTTTCTCTCAATATTTTCAGCCAAAGAAGACAAGAAAGTGAAGGAATTTTGGTCAAAAATCTGATTTTGGTAAAGTTAATAACCTTGGTCAAAAGTCCAAGTTCCAATAGTTTTGTAACAAATGGCACCTTAGGGTTCAAATCTCATCCTTTTGTCTACCAATGGTTAATCTGTCTAACTAACCTCTAATTATCTCCTAACACCTTGTAAAATAATAACACTTAGAACAAAAATCACTTAATCACCAAAATTTTATCGCACTAGCAGGTCTCACGTCTAGAATGCGTTTCAAATTTAACGTACACTAATTTATACTAGGAAAATGATTTAAAACTGTACTTGCTTATAAAAATGCATAGAAACTTTAATATTTTAAAGGCAAGTATAAAAATGTACGCAAAAATAAAATAATGCCTAGAAAATGCAAAAAGTTTCGGGTTCTCACAGCATACGGTCAAAATACGCAAAAAGCCCTAATTTACCCACACTAAAAACCTAAAGGGAAAACCCTTGATTCTATGGTTGATTGCAATTACTGAGGATGTGAATGAGTAGTAAAGCTATTAGAAAGGAATAAATGTCAAAGAAAAGGAATTTTAAAAAAAATGTGAGGGATTGTACAATTCCATTGATTACAATTAAGGTTTCGATTAAAATATGAGAGATTTAAGAAAACCAGTTAGTCACAAGTAAACTAGAGTTTTTGGATTAGAATTTAGGGTTTCTAGTCTTTTAAAACAAAATAAGGTTTTAAATCAAACCCAAAGAAATAAACTTCAGTAACTTCTTTAAAAACAATCTCCTAACATTCGGTGTATCACAATTTCCCCTCCTTAAAAGAATTTCGTCCTCGAAATTGCAACCTTTAAGTCAAATCTTCTTAATCCTTTCACGAGCTAAGGGTTGGAATACTCTAATATCTCATTAACGAGTTCATCATTGCCAATAAAATTTACCTCAAAAGTTTGTCCCTCTATGTATTTCAATCCAAGAATCAACCGTGTACTCCTTATCTCAAAGTCTCAATGGTCTTTAAATGTCTTGTAAAACGAGTAGAAAGAAACCTCAATACGATGGAAAATAGGAAGGGTACCTTCGATGATTGCCAATGGGTCTGTCACCTCTTGATTTCCTATTGCATAGGTTCTTGCCGGCACTTTCGGTCGATTACCCGTTGCATTGGTCGGCTTAGATGTGTTCCCTTTTGCCCTTGGCAAATTTCCTTCTTTTGGCAGGTGAGGGCACTGAGCAATCAGGTGCTCAGCACTACCACATCGGTAGCATTTCCGAACTTGCCATTTCTTCTAACAATTATTTTTCATGTGATTAGCAGCCCCACAAAACCCACATGTCGTTCTAGGTCCTGATGTCGGACCTCTACATGAGGTACCCCTTTGGATGTCCCTCCCTGTCTGACCTTTCTCAAAATTTCCTTGATTCGGGGTCCCTATTTGTCGTGAACCACCTACTCCTCGACCCATCTTAGATGGTGGCTTGCTCCTTGAGCTCTGTCCCTCAATATAACTACTTGTATCCGGTTGTCTTCTTTTCTTGTCATGAAAAGCCTTTACTTGACTCTTAGTACTTTCAATTCTTTATGCCTTTTCAATCACTTGACTATATGTCTCCAATTAAGCAGCTACCAGTGCCTCTTGAATCTCTACGTTCAAACCCTGGACAAACTGACGAATTCTCTTCCAGTCTGTTAGCACTAACTCTGAAGCAAAACAAGAGACTTTGGTAAATTGCGTCTCGTACTCCGCCACACTCATAGTCCCTTGACGCAGGCGTATGAACTCATCCTCTCGTCTTTCTTGAACAAGTGGTGGTAAGTGCTTCACATTAAACTCACGAGTGAAATTAACCCATGTCCATGGGATCTGCTCTCTATCCTATTTGGCTCGAATCACATTCCACCAGGCACGAGCCGCCCTCTCAAATTGAAAAACGGCGAAAGCTATCTGCTGTTCCTCTGGGTATCCTAATGCGGCGAATATATCTAACATTCGATCCAACCAACTCTTCGCTATATCAGGGTTAGGTCCACCCAAAAATTTTGGTGGTAGAAACGTCTGGAACCGTTCTAAGGAACGGTCCTCTCGCTCATGATTTTCGGGATACTGTACCTGGCCTTGACCCTGTTGGTTGACCATTCGTTCTAACAAATCATCCATTCGCTGTATGGCTGTAGCTACTTGGGTCTCGGCTTGTATATTTGCATTTTCATTTGTTATCCCTTCGGTTCCTTGTCCTTGTCCTCGTCCTCGTCCTCTACCCCCACCACGAGTCTCCATTTGATTGTTTTATAACTTCTATAATTGGGACAAAATATGGTACGAGTTCAAAGCGTTGAAAAAATTATAAAATGCATGAATTAGCTAAGATATCAAAATATCATACACGAAACTATATACATATATATACAATTCACACCAAAAGTATACACATATCAGTCCACATAACAGCTAATATCCAACCAGTACAAAACATGTTAATTAATGAGCACACCAGCTCCAAAAGACAACATAACAAATCAGAGTAACGACCCTAGCGAAAATCCCCCACAGAGCCCATAGAATCTATCACATCCATTGGCCCCGCGCCGCTAGCCCTAGGTGGCGCCTCAGCAGCCATATCTAAGAGAACCTCATAGTCTAGCATAATACCCCGGGCTCCCTCTCTCATCTGCCCCTTCAAAGCGAAGAAGTGGCGGTGGGTCTTCTCAAGCTGACGACCAAGGGTATGCGTCAGCTCCTCCTCAGCTCGTAACCCCGTCTCGAGGTCACGCAGGCGCATGGCCTGTGCATGACTCACCCCTCTAGCCTCATCCAACTGTGCCCTCAAAGTGTCAACCTTACTACCTAGGCGTCGACGCTCGTCATTTATAGCCATAACAACCTCATCCGGGTATCCATACATATGTCGACACTCACACGATCGATTCATTTGGCCGAAGGGAGAATATAGCCTATAGGGTTCCCCGACCCTCTTCTGATATCTAAGGACTCGTCGGCGCACCACCGATTCACCGGCCCACCTACACCCGTAGCTCTTACTCCGGCACCGCTAGATCCACCGGTATTGTTAGGTCCACCAATATCACTAGGTCCACCAACCTCCATACCTACACAACAAAATATTAACTAATCAGTTTTCCAGCATTTCATCTTAATAGATACGATTCAATTGAAAGACATTCGAATACTTATATGTTCTATAACACATTTTCCAACTGCCCAAGTCCTCTAACCTAGGCGCTCTGATACCACCTGTGACGATCCCACCGTACCCAGAGGCGTACCAAAGGGTTTAGCGGATCGCCTGCCTAACTCGCGCCAGGACTCGATTCCAAAAACGATAAAATAGAGTTCACGCCAAAAAAAGTAATATTTAAACTATTACATCTTCAAAAGTTGTATAGACTATTACATTAAGCCATACACACCATTAGTACCAAGAAGTAAACCCTAGAGAAATTACTAACCATAACTATCACAATCAAAATATACATTTCACTAGTCTACTTATAACAAGTACAAATTCAACTATTCTATAACCAAAAGTCTATACACCTTCCCAAGCTTTCCCCGCGTCGGCCCCTGCTAAGTAAAATAAATGGAACGGGGTAAGCTATATGCTTAGTGAATAATCAGGAGTAAAAATGTAAACTCACATCCAAATAAACAAGTAAATCAGGATATTTCACATCAATAACAGAAGGGTAACATCACATGGTAGGATACGGGTGGCTCCAAAGCCAGTTCAATTCCCCGAGCTTGAACGCCTGTTGACACTCTATCAACCAAAGTACTCATGGTCCGTAGACTCCACTTACTTTCCTCGTTCACCTTATCAACCCCCGTTGGCCAGTCAACAGCACACAACAACTCGACCGAACACAATCACTTAGCTTTAATCAAAGCTTTAACAAAGAACGAAATCCCAAAGTTAGCATGGAACTAACTTTGACCAAGCCCCGGCTGACTCAAATAGTTCATCTACCCTTGGAACCGGGCTAGAACCAAGCCCTGAGATATCCAATCCCTCAATAGATGATATCTCTCAACAAAGTATACTTACCCTAACAGCACACAGTAAAAAAGGGTTCAACTCAAGTCATGTAATCACCCCCATCAGCACACAGCAAAAGGGTGATACTCAACATAAGGCATGTATTCCCACAAATGAAATCAAAACAAAGGATGGGCTTAGGTCGAGTAAGATAAAATACACCCTCGCCTAAGTATCCATTTAACATATACAAAGCACTTTGACAATTTCACATCAATAAACAACCCAATTACTCACTCAAAATAGTGAGCACGCAAATCAAGGCACTTTATACGGGTCCACCGACTCCGTCCGGTTCGTCACTGCCTGTGACAGAAGATTATACTCAACTATGTGAGGACCCGAAAATTTTCCTATTTTATTTTATTTTACTGGCCTAATTAATTATTTAGTTCGACTATTTAAAATCCATTTATATGAAAAAAAAGCCTCTTTTATGTTTTTAAAGTGTTTTGTTAGAAAAGTTACTTTTCGAAAACTTGTTTAGTTTGGAACAACGAGTACACGTTTTTCGAGACTATATTTGAATTGTGAGTGTATTAATTTTGAAAAAATAAGAATGATCAATAGTAGATTAAGAAAAGTCGTAAGGACTCGTAAAATTTATTTATTTTAAACTCCTGTTACGAGGTTAGCTAAATATTTAAATGTCCGTTTACCCCGAATATTATTTTGTAACCTTTTAGACCAAATTACATGGAACTATAACTTACATGTATTTTTAAAATGACTTGTTATGGAAATTAATTTTGGAAGCTCGTTTAGTGAGAATAGTGAATGTGCGTTTGGAGACAGTGATCGATTTGAAGATACAATAAACTTGGAAAATTGGAGACTTATACATTAGTCTTAAAATTGATATTTTTATGTTTAAGTACTCAAGTATCAGTTAGTAGTACAATCGTTATAAGAATTTCTTGGAAATTCCACTTTATCGCGCACAAATCGGAAATACGCGTTTTCACACGCGCGGTTTAATTGAGGGACTTAAGACCTTTATTTCTATACTATTAAGAGTGAATAATTATAAGATTTAAGGAAGTGCATTAGAGATTTAGTGCACAAGTGAAACAAACCCGAGGGGAAACGAGCGCGAAACGCGCGCGTACGCGCACTAGTTTTGGTTGACTTTTATAGTATTCTTAGCCACACAATCTTAAGCTTTCTCAAGAAGCTTTTGCAGCTGCAACAACCTTTCTTTTCTTCTTTACCAGCCGTGCATCACTCCAAGGAAGAAGACAACCAAAATTCTTCTTCAACAACTCCCTCATTTCTCACCCAAATCACTCCAAAATTTAACTACAACTAGCAAACAACTTGGAGATTCACTTGAGCTTGGAGGAGAACTTCATTTCACGGTTTTTCTTGGGCTTAGAGTGACCAAAATTTTCTACTCGAATCATCCAAGGAGGTAAACAACGATCAACCTCTTAAACCTTTGTTTATGGAAGTTATCTAGCACTTATAAGTTCATAATTTCATGTGGGTAGTTTTAGATTGTTGGATTTTGGTGTGTGGGCTCTATGAACTCCCACAATGACTTGAGGACTGATTTCATGAGTTTTTATGTTATTAATGTCGGTTTAGTGCTTAAATTAGTGGAAATAAGTTGTATTGGTGAAAGGAAACTCAAAGAAGGTGATGAGCAAAAATATCTCGAAACTGCCCCTGTCATTTTCGTGTGCTTTTGAGCACTTTTCAGTGGTTCAATTGACTTGTATACGACGTATATATGTTGTATAGGTTGTGTAGAAAGTTTCCACCCAAAATTACTTGATTTGGTTGGCCAAACGTTGAATTTTCGAAAAGGCTTCAAAACTGGAAATTGTTCCCGGATTACCCTGGCAGTGTTTTTGTTTTGGCCATAACTTTTTACTCCGATGTCAAAATTGAGTAACATTTATGGCACTGGAAACTATACATTCCCAGCTTTCCAATGGTATAAAATTCATATCCTGATTCTACCCGAGTGAACCGTACCAACCATTTGGACTTGGCTGCCTGTTTCGCTAGTTCACTGGAAGCTCTGTTTTGAGCAGCAAATTGATTCTCAAATATGAGCTAGTTGTGGAAAGATTTTGAGAATGATTTCTTCAGAAAAATTGTAGATTTATGAATCTAGTTTTCAACGCCATCAACCAAACTCAATTCCAGGTTGAATTGAGTGAGTTGTGGCCATATTTCGAAACTGATGCAGTGAGTAAAAAACCCTCTTTTTGGCTAGTAAAGGCCTAAACCTTGGTTGGGACTTGTTGTTTTGAAATTTTTGATGTTAATCACCTACCAAATGTATCTTGGATTCTTATTAGACCTGGTTATCACAAATGAGTCATGTTTTAGGCATTTTATTGGCCAAAGGTTTGAGGAAAGAAAAATTGAAGTACAAGGCAGATTTGCCTTGGAAATTCTTGGAACTTTGATGGTTTTGTTAACCAACTTGCCGAGTGAATTTTTCTATGTAATTCAACAGAGGAATAGCCCTTATATGGTAGTGTAAAGGTACCAAATTTGGTGCCATTCCGAGTCCGTTTAGATGTTCAATCAAAGTCCCAAAGTTTGTGATTTACACTTGGAAAACCCTTGTTTAGTGAAGAAATTTTAGTAACTTTGAGCCACCATATCTTGGTGGTCAAAACTCTGATTCTTGTTCCGCTTGTTTTGTTTTAAACTTGGATTGCAACTCTAATAGATTTCCAAATTTCAAAGGCTAGTTCACAATGTGTGAATTTTGCCAAATTTTCAAACTTTACCGAAAACCAACCCAAATCTGTCTTGATAACTCAAGTCATTAACTTTGAGCCAATTTTTGAATGTCTTCCACTTGGATTCATTGAAAATTGTCTTCTAGGAACTTTTAGTACTTTGGAAGAAGTTTCCAACAGTACTAAGTTTTCCAATTTTGGACTTTCAGAGAGTGAGTTATGATTTTTCAAAAAATACCCTAAACTTGACAAATTTTGCCCTTTTTAAAAGAATCCGCGCGGGAAAACCATTCCACAGAATCCGGCCGTGTATCCGGCCAGTTCTTGGCCAGATAGTTGGCTAGATTGTTGGTGAGTTTTGAAAAAAATTAGATTTCTTCACTGCCTTGAATCCGGCCGGATGTCCGGCCAGTTCTTGGCCGGATTGTGACGTGGCGCTTCCACGTCCGACTTCGATCGTTCGTCTGAAAATTTATTTACATGATTTCATACCTACTAGCTTCCATCCAATGATTTTAAGGATGAAACTTAACCTTTTTCTTCCGTTTTGAACGCTACTTCCGAGCCTTGATTATGAATAATTAAGGCTCAATTCATGATTTCTCCTTAGAATGAACACTAGTACAATCTTCTCGATAAGTAGGGAATTTTAAGCGATAGTGTGTAATAGACAACTATTGTTTGCTCAGGTGCTCACAGAGACCTTCAAGAGGATCTCGAGGAGAACACCTAAAAGCTTGTTTACGCACTTACTCTCTTGTTTCAATAGGTGAGTGTTCCATATAGGAGTACGTGAATTGAATAAGTCTATAACATGCTTATTCCATGGTCATTAAGTGTTAAGTGCTACTTGTTAAGTATTTACCACACTCATGCATATTTAAGTAAGATATACTTGAATTACTCGACATGAAGTACTTGAAGTGCATATACTTGAATCACTCGACATGAAGTACTTGAAGTGCTTATACTTGAATCACTCGACATGAAATATTTGAATTGCATATTTATGTGATATGTTTAAATGATTAATGATGCTATGGCTGCATAAGTCAGTTGGAGGGAATCTCCTCGACTCTTAAATGGTAAAAGTAGGACATGGCCAATGACGGCCTATTAAAATGACAGATGTCTACCAATTAACCGTAATTACTTAACCGTTAACCGTTAATCGTAAATCATTACCGTTTACCAATTTACTTGATTACCTGCTTATTTGACTACTTGATTACCGTAAATTACATGTTCTTATGAAATTGTCCATCATTTTAAGGCGAGTGTGTACTTTATCTCACTCGACCTGCTCAAATGATAAAATTTTACCGTTCGTCGATTTGCTTGATTACTTGTG